CCATTAGGGGGCCTCACCATACATCCGATGACCCCGCACCGCTCCCCGGCACACATCACTCATCCCGGCCATTGTTGGACATGATGGTACTTGTAGTTCATCAGGGATGTCTGCTGAGAGCTCAGATGTACAATGGGGAGACGGTGCTGGCTGTCCTTGTCAGGGCATGCTGGTACTTGTAGTGCCTCTGAGATGGGCAGTCCTAGCAGTGAAGGCATGCTGGCACTTGTAGTGCCTCTGAGATGTGTGTGATTATTATGGGAGGGTGAGACCAGGTGCACACAGGACAAGGCACCCTGTATATAATGACATTGTAGACATCCTAGGGGGGGGGGGGGGGGGGCGCAAGGAAGGCATGCTGGTACTTGTAGTTCCTGTAATTGGTCCTATAGGGTATGCATCTGTAGGGGGCACTCCTTTCCATGGTATGCTGGTACTTGTAGTTCTTGTAATTGGTCCTATAGAGGTATGCATCTGTAGGGGGCACTCCTTTCCATGGTATGCTGGTACTTGTAGTTCCTCTGGTGGGGTGTGTGTAAGGGGGAGGGGGCAGTCCAAGTCATTGCTACTTGGTACTTGTAGTTCCTCTAGAGATATAGATATATATATATATATATATAAATAAATAAAATCATCTGTAGAAGGGGGTCCTAGCTGGCACTGTCAGGGCATGCTGACCTTTGTAGTACCTCTGGTGGGACTGTGGTCTCAGGAGATGTATTGCACATAGTCCTAGACAGTCCCTACAGACGTGTGTGATGTCCTCCTGCACAGGTCAGGGGTCTCCATGACTGGGGGGGGGGGGGGGTTAGGATTGCTGTCCACTGAGTGCAGATAGAGACAGACCTGGAAGTCTATAGGAGAACAATGAGGTCTGAGACCCCTCGGGACTACAAATCCCAGCATGCACAGACATTACTGCAGAGTCTTGTAGTCCTGCAGCTGTATTGTATGAGGAGTGCAGTGCAGGGATGATGAGTACAGAGTGAGGATGAGGAGTCGGGGTCAGTACAGTGCAGGGATGAGGAGTCGGGGGTCAGTACAGTGCAGGGATGAGGAGTCGGGGTCAGTACAGTGCAGGGATGAGGGAGTCGGGCTCAGTACAGTGAGGGATGAGGAGAAGGGCTCAGTACAGTGCAGGGATGACGAGTAGGGCTCAGTACAGTGCAGGGATGAGGGGTAGGGCTCAGTACAGTGCAGGGATGAGGGGTAGGTCAGTACAGTGCAGGGGTAAGTACAGTGCAGGGATGAGGAGGAGTACAGTGTGAGGATGAGTAGGGGTCAGTGTAGTACAGGGATGGAGAAGGGGGGCAGTGCAAGGATGATGAGTAGGGGTCAGTGCAGTGCGGGGATGATGAGTAGGGGTCAGTGCATGATGAGGGGATACGGGGAGTAGGGGTCAGTACAGTGAGGGGATACGGAGTAGGGGTCAGTACAGTGATGAGGGGTAGGGCTCAGTGCAGTGCAGGGATGAGGGGTAGGGCTCAGTGCAGTGTAGGGGGCAGTGCAGGGATGAGGGGTAGGGCTCAGTACAGTGTAGGGCTCACGCAGTGCAGGGATGAGGGGTAGGGCTCAGTACAGTGTAGGGCTCACTGCAGTGTAGGGATGAGGGGTAGGGCTCAGTGCAGTGTAGGGGTCAGTACAGTGCAGGGATGAGGGGTAGGGCTCAGTACAGTGTAGGGCTCACTGCAGTGTAGGGATGAGGGGTAGGGCTCAGGGCTGTAGGGCTCACTGCAGTGTAGGGATGAGGGGTAGGGCTCAGTGCAGTGTAGGGGTCAGTACAGTGTAGGGCTCACTGCAGTGTAGGGATGAGGGGTAGGGCTCAGTGCAGTGTAGGGGTCAGTACAGTGTAGGGCTCATGCAGTGTAGGGCTCAGTGCAGGGTGTAGTGGGTCAGTACAGTGCAGGGATGAGGGGTAGGGCTCAGTACAGTGCAGGGATGAGGGGTAGGGCTCAGTGCAGTGTAGGGATGAGGGGTAGGGGTCAGTACAGTGCAGGGATGAGGGGTAGGGCTCAGTACAGTGTAGGGCGGGTGTCCCTCGACCATTGCTCCTCCATTCCGATCTCCTTGTCCGGAGTCTTTGTGATTAGAGGCTAGTTTCTGAGGAATTACATCACCCTTAGGCGGTGGCCCCGGGCGGTGTACTGTGTGGTGGGGCCCCGGGCGGTGTACTGTGTGGTGGGGGCCCCGGGCGGTGTACTGTGTGGTGGGGGCCCCGTGTTGTGTGCGGAGCAGTAAGTAGGTGAAAGGTCGCCGCTCGGTGGTTCGCTGAGTTCATGCTTCCTGAGGGTTGCAGGGCAGCAGCTGATCACGCTTCCTTCACGTGCACGCCCAGAGCCGCTCCAGCCAATGGCCGGCAGGAGCGCGCGGGCCTGTCAGCCAATGGGCGTCGTCAGCGCTCTTCCATTGGCTGCGGCGGCCAGGCAGCCGCTTGTTTGTGCAACTGGGCTGAGAGAACAACACAAAAGGCTTACGTGAGGAGGTGGGCGGAATGAGTTTTAGGCTGGGATCACGTGACACAAGGCCTGGAGGTCGGCCAACTAGGCTGCGTGGGCGGGTTCAAATCCCGTCCTGACCAATGGCGCCTCTGCCTTGTTTTTGTGCGAAAACAAGGCGGCCTCGTGTCTTCGTAGCTATATTACGAATTGAGGAGCCAGTGAGAAAGCAGTTTGTTGTGACGTGTCTGCAGCACCCACCATATGCAGGCTTCAGCTCATCAGTCCTCCAGTGGGGTGGCAGCATTCGTTTTCTTTTAGGCAAACACAGAAAGTGGCATTTGATCCTGCCACTAATGCTCTCCAATTTCCTGTCAAACTGAAATCTCATATCCTGTGATCTGGATTTGAAGTGGTCTTCTGTGAACTACAAATCCCCTCCCCCATGTGATGGAGATGAAGAGCGGGGGAGGCAGTTGTAGTCCAATAAGGAGAGCAGCCTGGGGTGACAACAGCCGTGTAGATAGTGGAGTGAGCGAGTACAAGATACAGAACTGCACCCCTCCCCCTCTGCTAACACATGGCGTACCGCCCGGCATGCTCTGCTGTCCATGTTCCCATTCCCCACGTCTCATCTGCGCATTGTTGGCATGGAGGGAGCGCAGCGCATGCATGGGTGTTCTCATCCTCTTCCGCAGCTAGGAGTCACCCACTCATGGATGTTTTTTACACAGTGATCCAAGGAGGGAGGATGCTTGTTGGAGTGCGGTGTGATGGCAATAGTAAGAGCAGACAGAGATCCGCCACAATGCCCTGGTTGGCCACCACCAATCTAGAGTCTGTGGTTTGCAGTCACTGCTCTGGGGCGGCTGTCCCTCCTGCCCCCACCCTTGTCTCAGTCACTGTAGGACAGGAATGGTGATACTGGCAGGATCACATCACAAGCTGGAAGTAACGGAGGAAAGAAAACAATTGTAGCCACCAAATCTCTGAGCCGCCACATTTGACAGGTTGTTCTGGGGTTTAGGAAAGCTTGGAGTGCTGCAGGAGAACATTGACTCTTCAGAGGTTGGGGTAGAGCTTTGCTTTCACATGCTGTACTCTTCCTTTCCTGGCATCCTCTCTGTCCGCACAGGTCTTGGCCATTTGTTGACATGGGGAGGAGGGGAGGAATTGTATTTTAGAGGGCCACTTCATATGAAAGGGATATCAGATACCGGGGGAGGGGGAGAGGACTTCTTTTATGTCATTGGGATTCCTGTGTACTCGGGTTACAAGGGCTGCCCGCCTACAGGAGTCCCTGACCTGATAAAAATAAGCTGCTGCTTAATACACAGACGCTTGGCAGATAAATGAAGCTGGGCTGTTCAGTAGTCACTTTGCCTGTGTATTTCATTTTCTGTGGGGTATTTTTACACCTCTGTTGTGGTAATGCACTGTAATCTGTGTACTGCATTGCAATGTGTGGCATAGCAGCCTATCACAACACGGCATGACAGAGACTCACTAAAACATACTGCCAGCCACAGAAGTGAATGATCAGTGTGTTTGCCTTAAGAGAGAGTGTGGCGCTCAGCATCTTTGGGGTTACATTTTGCTCAGAGTTTGGTTTCAAAGCAGACCCTCTGCCCCCCCCCCCCCCCAACCTGTCCACTTGCCTGCCGGCTTTCTCTTATTCCCAGGGCAGCACAGTGGCTAAATGGTTCGCACTTCATCCTAGCAGTACTAGGGTGGTCTGTTCGAATCCCAACCACAGCACCATCTGCCTGAAGTTTGCATGTTCTCCCTGTGCCTGTGTGGGATTCCTCCAAGTACTCCCAAAACAGTAACATTCAAAGCATTCCGTGAATGATAACTATCACAGTTGCTTGTGCTCTCAACTGAACTGTTAAGCCATCATATGGTTGGTGTCATAACTGAGCACATGTGCAGCACCATGTCAGCTGCAGATCAAATAGAGGCTAACATATCAGCCTTGTTGGCTGTAAAGGATGGGGGGGGGGGGTTATTTCTGCTTTAAATTGTAAGTGGGACAGCACAGTGGCTAAATGATTAGCACTTCTGCCTGGCAGTAATCGGTCATTGGTTTGAATCCCAACCACAGCACTACCTGCCTGGAGTTTGCATGTTCTCTCTGTGCCTGTGTGGGTTTCCTCCCGGTACTCTAGTTTCCTCCCACACTCCAAAGACATGCTGGTAGGTTAATTGGTCTTAGTATGTATGAATGTGAGTTAAGGACCTGACATTGTAAGCTCCTTAAGGGCAGGGACTGATGTGAATGTACAAAACACAGCTGGATTGCAGTGTGTGTGCAAATGTGTGTGTGTGTGTTTTGTTTTTTTTGGACGGAACCGAGCTATAGAGGAGATTGGGGGAAAGGAGGGATACTTTTCAAAAAAAAAAAAAAAAAAAAATTTAATCAAAACAATAAATAAGGATCTGGCAGAATTTTGGATCCAATGCAGCACTTATTGTCCAAGTTCCTGATTTTAATAGTTGAAGTACCAAAAAGTGATTAATGTGGATGTTTTTTTTTTTTTTTGTTTGTTTCATCAGAGGGACAGAATGGACGTATGTGGTCTTCAGCGATTTGGGGGAGCTCCCTGGAAGTTCACAGCAGAGAAAAGTGACGTGGAGGCTGTGGAAGCTCTCATGTTTATGAGCAGCCGGTGGAAGCCTGAGCCCAGAAGCTACATTGATCTAAGGCCAATCACCCCAGCGTCTGATCTCTCCGAGAACGAAGACAGCATGATCACAGCTGACTTCAACACCATGCCGGCTTTTGTAAGTGGGGCTTATGTAGTGTCTTTTTATATGTAGTGTCTTATTTTGGTTTGCCCCTTAAAGTACATGACAGCTCTTCAATGTATTTGCAGTTTTAAGGTGTATGTGTAGCCAGTAGTCAGAGTAGATGTCTCCTTTCACAATTTCAATTGTTAATTTATTTAAAGTAGAAGGAAAGTCAAGCTATATAAAATGCCAATGCTTACACATTGTCTGAATATGCCCTTAGTTGACATTTAAAAAACAAAAATAGCTTTTATTCTTTTATTAGTGGTCACGTGACCACTTGGTCTCTTCTTCTTTCCCCTTGCCCGTCAGAAGGAAATCAGCTGTGAAGCCACAAGGCTTCACTTCCGGTTTCTCTTACTGAAGATGTCAGCACCTGCACCCGAAACTGATTGAAGAATCGGCTCGGATGAGGATTTCGCTGAAACCCTGGGCAGGTAAGTGTCCTTATCTTAAAAGTCAGCAGCTATAGTATTTGTAGCTGCTGACTTCTAATGATTTTTGGGGAGCCTGGGAGCACCGCTTTAACATCACAAAGACTGTAGCAGGAGGAGCACGACACCATGTGCAGGGAATAAGAAAGCGGATAGAAATATGCGTGGAGACATCTTATTACTGGAAATTTCCCCACCACTGGTCCTTTAAAGATTTGGGTTGCTAGGAGACACTCCATTTTTTCCTTTCTCTTTTGTATTTCTTTTAGAGAATACCCCTTAGTACCTTTTTATTGTTTACTTGAACTTGACTTTGTGGTAAAGTACAGCCATGAACTAACCAAGCCTTTCAATTTCATGTTTCCAGTGCCTGACCCCACCATACAGCCCATCCGAATTTGAAATGCTACATTCCCCAAGCATCAATCCAGCATCTCCATGTATGGAGAAGAGCAGGCCTGTCACCAGCACAACCCCAACTACTTCAGCTCACAATGCACTGAGCCATCCAAAAGCCCAGGCAACGAGCGTTATCCGCCATACTGCGGACGCAGAGTTCTGCAGTCAACATTTGTTTACACCAAGGAATTGTGATGGTCATGAAACAAACATTAGCACTCGGCAGCAAAGTTCTGTCGTGCAGTCTGGTGACACTACAGCGTCTCTTTCTGAGCAATTCAAGACAGAAATGCAGGTTCTGCCTGCCTTCTTGCCTGCAAATAGTACTTATGGTAGTGTTCCTCTTCAGGCCTGTAATGGCAAGCCCAGTTCCAGTGATGCCTGTGTTATTCCAGTGCAGATTCCATCACCCCCAGTGTTGGTGTCCACACCTGTAACACCAAATGCATTGCCGCAGGTGCCAGTCCTTTGTCAAATGGTCCCCTTTTCTTCAAGCAATTCAGTGCTGACAACAGTGGTGGCAAGCACTTCCGCCCAGACCCCAGCAGTCATGCAGCCTGTCTTCTACATGGGAGCGCAGGTGCCTAAAGGAACTGTGATGTTCGTGATGCCCCAGCCAGTAGTGCACAATACAAAGACTATGTTGACCAGTGGCACCAGATTGTCACCAATAGCACCAGCACCAGGAATTTCTGCTTCGGAGGCCAAGTTTCCATCACCTATGGATGCATCACGCATAAGAAGCCACGTTTGCAACCAGCCTGGGTGTGGAAAGACGTACTTTAAGAGCTCTCACCTGAAAGCCCACATGCGAACACACACTGGTATGTAAATAACCTCTATTCCTTCAAAACCTTGGTAGGAACCTTCTAAGGGAGTCTATTGCATTTAGTGACCAGTCCCTATTGAACTGTTGTCATTATCCAGTATAAATTTTAACCAGCAGTGGTTTAGGCAGTGCATATTGTTTGAGAAGATTGTTCTCCTAGTTGGTGTATTCTAAGGACACAGTCAGTTTTTTTTATTGGTTATAAAGTATAGAAAGACATTTTTTCTCAATTCAATAAAATGATTCTTACCATTAAACTGTATTTTATATTGACCCTTTAAGGGCTCTGGAAGACTGGAGGTGGAGGCAGATCTCCTGATTAAAGTGGCTGCAACAGCCAATCATAACAATCACATAATCAGGAAATCTGCCTCTAGCTCCAATCTTCCAGAGCCACTTGAACGGCTGGCAGGGGCTGGTGCCAAGGGGTTAAAATGAAGCATTAATAATGTGATTTGAAATGTCAGATATAAAAATTGGAAGCCCTTTTATTGATCATAAATATAAGTGATCGGAATCTGTCAATAGCAGCTCGGATACTTGGCTGAAAGCACATGCTTTGCACAGAACAGTAGAGACACCTGACCCTGTGTTAAGGCCCACTCACAATGCACATGTGCGTTACGCTGCTGTGAAAGCATTAACCATTACATTAAGATATATCAGCAGTAATGGTGTGCCTGGCAGGATTATAAGTTCTTTGCTTTGTGGTCTAAAGTACTGTGTATTGTATGTTTTGCATATCAGGTTTATAATTTGTTTCTTACTTACAGGAGAGAAACCCTTCAATTGTAGTTGGGAAGGCTGTGAAAGAAAGTTTGCTCGCTCTGATGAACTATCCCGACACCGTCGCACACATACAGGAGAAAAGAAGTTTGCATGTCCAAAATGCGACCGGCGCTTTATGCGCAGTGACCACCTGACCAAGCATGCCAGGCGTCACCTGTCTAACAAAAAGCTACCTACCTGGCAGATGGAAGTCAGCCGGTTAAGCGACGTTGCTCTGCCACAATCCTCAGCTCCTGTCCAGTGAATGTATCCAGTAGAGCTTGTATCACTCTGCTATAGGTTCCTGGCACGTCGCTTGTGAAAACCGTAATGGCAAGTCGCCTTCACTCCATGGTGGACGTAAGTCTGATTAGCCAAATGGAAATGAGGTCTGTGAAGCAACAGCGGCGGTGACTGAAAGACTTTTTACGAGGATTCTGATTCCTCTGTTTATTATTTGGCACTGGAGAAGATGGTTGAATGCAGGTTTTCTTGTGTAGCACGGTCGGTAGTGCTGCCAGGACAGTGTGCGTGTTATTAATTACAACAATTTGCTACTAGTACCGCTTACAAAGCTATGTAAGCTTTTTCTTACTACCTGGTAAAAGTGGCTTCATTTTGGCGATTTTTATGATGCCTGGTTTGTAATTAACGAAGTTAAGTTGGGATGTTTGTATACCTGACTCAAAATAGAAAAAACACCTAATCTACTAACCATTCTAGTATGTTTAAAGGTTAGCTAATATTTATCAAATTCTATTTCCTTAGGTAAGTCCTCTTACGACTGACAAAACAATAGTTTTCAACTTTACTGTTAGAGTGTCCTCTTCATCGAACTAAAAGGTGTGAGATGCCAGAAAACTGTGACTGCTTCTATTTATCATTAGTTTTCCGTTTAATTCCCACAGAGGTTTCTTATTTTTTGTCTTCACCTCTAGTTCATATCATTCTTTTTTTACTTTTAAGGCGGTGCAGTAGCTGACTTTGGGTTTACAAGGCACCTTAATATTATTAGTATCCCAAAAGTGTGGATATGCTAATGCCATTCCATTAAAAAAAGAAATAAATAACTATGCACGTTAAGATGTTAAGTAGGATTTTTTTCTCTTTTTGTATTTGCTAAAGTTGGTAAGCATTTGGCAAATTTGTTTTATTATTGGACATTACTATAAAACCTATCCATAGTACATGAATGAAGGTACTATTATCTTGTTAAAGCCTTTTGCCATTTGTTAGTGAGCCTATACCTAAAATGTCACTTAATAAAGTCAGCCATGCAGGCTTTAAATAATTTTCAGGCAGCTTAAACCTTGTTATTGCAAGTATGGAGTATTCCAGCACTGTTGGGTCTTAAGGGTGTACTGGCTGGTCTCTCATTTCCTCATAGAAATGTTAGGGATTTTTTTTTGTAGTCCTAAATTTTTTTATCTTTTTCAGCAAATAGTTTTTTCAATTTACTATAAGGTTCTTAGACAAAGGATAACTGAAATATTCAAAGGGAACTGCACCTCACCCTTTTGCTTAAAAGAACTGCTGCCATGTTTTGGTTTTATTTTTTTTTTTTAGGAAGTCAGTAGTGATTTAGGAGTGTATGCTAAAAAAAAAAAAGACTTTCTCTTGCACTCAGATCATATTTTTACTTCATTTAAAGTGGAACTTCATGCAAAAGGGGAAGTTCCACCTACCTTATTTTGTATTTTTTTGAGGGGGGTAGCTGGTACTTAGTTTTATCAGGTACCCACTCGCACTTCTGCTCAGATTGCCTAGGTGATCCAAGAATAAGTTGAGGCCCCGCCTGCAACATTCTGGGACATGTCACAGGTCCCATGAGGCTGCGGGACCATTTACAGGCGCATGCACAGTGAGGAGCCTGACACAACTTCGCAGCCAACTTCCCACAGTTAACATGCCGAGAACCCAAATAAAGGGGAAGAACCGGCCCATGTTAGGGCAATGATTGACCCCTGGACAGATGAATGTCTGTTTATTTAAAGTTAGCAGCTACCGCTTTTGTAGCGACTGACTTTTAATTTTTGGAAACCTGGCTGAAGCTCCTCTTTAAGTTAGCCATTTTACCTTCGGGTGCCGTTAGCAATATTTTAAATGATGTTCAGTGTTATTCTTCTAATGGCAACTAAAAAGAAATCACATTTGAGTGTTTGGTAGCCTTACCACTATACAAAGTTCTGTAGAAAGTTGTAGAGGCCACGGCGTGTGGCAAGACGTATACTACTGCAGCATAGCTTGATACTGCTGTATCATAATTGTGTGCATATAATCCAACCAAATTCATGTATGCACATTTATAAGTTTCACTATTGTACAGGATTTTGCAACTGAAACATCTTCTAGCAACACAAATGTAACACTTAATTTCTGTCACATCTCAGTGGTAGCCGATTCTGCTGCTGCTTAAGGGTTTAGTTCATTGAAAATAAATATCTCGGTTATCAGAGGTGGGTTGAATGTTTATTTTTTTTCTGTGGACTCTGGAATACAGGTTGATTTCCCCACTAGTGTTCCTCACTCAGCCTTCCCCACCATAGCTGCCAATACAATAAAGAAATGGAACAGTCAGTAGTGTCACATCATCCCTTGATCTGGCAAAGGGGGTGATGGCAGCAGCCAGGGACTATCCAAAAATTAAATATCCGTACTAGGTGAACTTGCTGTTAAGTCAGACCTATGTTCAGATGTTCAAGTCTTGCTGGGGTGGATAAATAGAGGCCTACTTCTAACTTGATGCACTTAAATGAGAAAGGAAGCTGCAGGTTTCAGTTGCTTTAAGTGCATCTCTGATACACGGGTTGATTTACTAAAACTGGAGTGCGCAAAACATGGTGCAGCTCGGCAAAGAAACCCTCACATGCCTGACGAAGGGGTCCTGCATGGCTCCGAAACATTGCACTCTCTTCTGTGATGTGATCTTTTTGCAATAAAAACCTCTTTGGACCATATTTGGAGATCCATGACATGCTGATGAATATGTACATTTGCTTATGATGTTTCCAGTCCCAGCTGGTAGTCGCTACAGCACCCGGTATTGATGAGCCGTATTTCCAGGAATGTATGCGACAGGAATATAGCTAAGACTGCAAAGAAACCAGTCGGCTTTCAGTTTATTTTGTCAAAGTTTAATTGAACAAACTAAAGGTAGAAGCTGATTGGCTACCATGCACAGCTGCACCAGATTTTGCACTCTTCAGTTTTAGTAAATTATCCCCATAATGTCAAAATATGTTTGTGCATTTTTGTTCTTCTTTAGACTGTACTTTGGTCACAAGTGTTTTGGAAAGAGATCTAATTCCCAGAAAATTACACAATCTATTCTTGTGTATTAAATCTGTAGATACACCTAAGAGGCAGTTGTTTTGAGTTGGCCTAGAAGGCATGAGGAGTTGGCAAGTTCCACACTCCTTGGTGGTGCCATTTAGCCCTTGGTGAAGTCATTACATATAGACACATGACTCTAGGCCTTCAACAAAATGACCACGGCTGTTTTAGGCATCATCAGTGATGTTTTAAAGCTTTAATATCTATTCTTTCCATGGGGCATATGCACAGCTTTGAGCAGGTTTAATGTTGATCATTAATGTATGAGGCATTTTGTGACTACTTTTTTTATATGTTTGCACAGTATTTCAATGAAAGTTGTACTTTATACGTGTTATAAAATAAAAGAACAATTTTCTATGCCGTCTGTGTATAGTGTTGTTTTTTTGTTTTTTTTTTCAGGGCTGGTGAAATTTAGGTAATCCAGTCCAGAGAATAACACAGCCTTGTCACACTGTAGAGCCAACCTAGTGAGCTTATTGTTCTCTGCTGCAATTGGGCCAGTGTCACTCTTGAGATTTATTATTTATTTATTACAGGTACTTGTATAGCGCCATCAATTTACGCAGCGCTTTACGTATATATTGTGCATTCACATCAGTCCCTAACCCTCAAGGGGTGTACAATCTAAGGTCCCTAACTCACATTCATACATACACATACTAGGGCCAATTCACCTACCAGAATGTCTTTGGAGTGTAGGAGGAAACCAGAGTACCCAGAGAAAACCCGCACAGGGAGAACATGCAAACTTCAGGCAGGTGGTGCCGTGGTTGGGATTTGAAGCAACGACCCTAGTACTGCCAGGTGGAAGTGCTACATAGTTACATAGTTAGTCTGGCTGAAAAAAGACAAAAGTCAATCCAGTTCAATCATTTAAAAAAAAAAAAAAAAGTTATAATCCTATACCCCACAGGTGATCCAGAAGAAGGCAAAAAAAAAGCCAGCAAAGCACCATCAAATTTCCTCCTGCTGGGAAAAAAAATTTCTTCCTGATCCCCCGAGAGGCAATCAGATATTCCCTGGATCAACTTTACCTATAAATGTTAGTATCCAGTTATATGCTGTGTATCTAAGAATTAATCCAGGCCTTTTGTAAAGCAATCCACTGAGCTGGCCAAGGAATAGAACCCTATCACTGGTATCAGTGGGAAGAATGGTGCCCCATCATTTGTATTAGTTGGAGGAATAGCACTCCATCATTGGTATTACTTGAAGGAATAGAACCCTATCACTGGTATCAGTGGGAAGAATGGTGCCCCATCATTTGTATTAGTTGGAGGAATAGCGCTCCATCATTGGTATTACTTGAAGCAATAGAACCCTATCACTGGTATCAGTGGGAGGAATGGTGCCCCATCATTGGTATTAGCTGGACAAATAGCGCCCCATCATTTGGTATTACTTGAAGGAATAGAACCCTATCACTGGTATCAGTGGGAGGAATAGTGCCCCATCATTGGTATTAGTTGGAGGAATAGCGCTCCATCATTGGTATTACTTGAAGGAATAGAACCCTATCACTGGTATCAGTGGGAGGAATGGTGCCCCATCATTGGTATTAGTTGGACAAATGGCGCCCCATCATTGGTATCAATGGGAGGAATCCTGCCCCATTGTTGGTGTCAGTGGCAGGAATTTTGTCTGACTATTAGGGTTGATTTACTAAAAGTGGTGCACTCAGAATCTGGTGCAGTTGTGCATGGTAGCCAATCATCTTCTAACTTCAGCTTGTTCAATTAAGCTTTGGCGATAAAACCTGGAAGCTGATTGGTTTCTTTGCAGATCTGCACCAGATTTTGCACTCTCCAGTTTTAGTAAATAACCCCTTTAGTGTCTAATGGGAAGAATAGTGCGCCAAGGGCTGAATAAAGGCAAGCAAAGGGCCATAGTTTGGAGACCACTCGCTCAGGACTGGTTCACACCTATGCG